TTTTTTTGTAATATGGGAATCTGAAACAGTGTGATGTACAGTATGAGTTGAATCTTTCTCGTACTAATTGTATGCACCACTACTGCTGTGACGGGCCTTCGTCCTGCAAGGGTCAGCCGCAGTCCAAGCTGTAGTGGACATTTTGTAAAAATCAGTTTTGCAATGGGCAGAGCATTTGCAATGTTTTCACTTTTTGGGTCTTGGGGGTGCCTTCATGCGTAAAAGCACATAAAGAAATTGCAGTTGCTCTTAAATGTATTTTCTACCAGCAGTTGTGCTGAAAATTCAGTTCCATCTGTAATGGTAGAAAATTAGTTTTACTTCTGTCCTTTTTTTCATTCACTGCTGTCACTGTAAAAAAGTAAGGTTTGGTGCGTCTCTTGTTACACAGCTTTGGATTCAATGAGCTGTCATTGATATTGATATTTAAATACTAAATGTGTTTAATACATTTACACTACTCTTCTTAAATGTACTTATTGAGTAGCATATAAAGACTTTTACATTATTCTTCAGTCAGAATACATACTTTCACAGATCATGGATTCATTTACCAGCCACCCTTAGGGATATTGAATTTAAAGTTTTCTCTAACCTGGCTTGACAGAAATGTTATTCTTTTTCTGAAAAACCCATTATTCCAGTGATGTTTGTTTTACATGATTAAAACGTGTACTGTGCTTATCTGAAATGGTGTCTAAACATGAAGGAAGAATTTTCTGCAGTTGTCAGTTAACAGTCTTCAGTAGGTGTTTTTTTTTTATTCTGTATATCATTATTTGTATAGACTTTGGGAAATTTTTATATTTACTTTTGGATATTTTGGAAAGCACCAGCCTATTTTTTTAAGTGAAACATCTAGTGGATATAGTTTTTATCTTGTTGCTTACTATTGAGAAGTTAAATGTACTGCCAAAAGAAAAGCCTTATATCTTTGCAAGATGGCTAGGTTTCTGTATGGGATGAAACTACTTCATCTGGACTTGGAGCCTAATTCAGAAATATTCAGTCATGGTCCTGGAGAGCAATGGCCCACCAGGTTTTATTGGTCAGTGAATAACACTTGAAACGTGGAAGCAGTGATGATAAAGGCCGAGTAACAAATTGATGTAAAATCACGTTTAAGAATCTAGGATGGAATGTTAACTGGGAGAAACAGTGGCTCTTGAGGACCAGCAGTGAATAACAGTGACCTAATTACTAGTGTGTTTTTGGTACAAAGCAGAAATGCCCATCCCATTCCAACCAAAGGTTTTGCACTGCTTGTTTTATCTGACAGTAATATTGTTCAGTCTTGAAGATTAAAAGATGTAAGTTCTTTCTTTTTAAGGGTGTTCCAAAATGTGTGTGCTGTAATCTTCAGATAGTCTGTTTTCCATGTTTACCCAGAGTGAAATCTTGAGTAGTACTTAACCGGAAGGTAATTACATAAATTACATATAAATTGATTTTTTTAGGAAACGTTATTGCCAAGTGTACTTTCCTGAGTTATTTGTACACATTCTGTCGCCATGGGAAAACAAAAAACCCCTGTCCTTTTAAAATCAGTGCCTACTGTGTACTAATCATGTACATTTCTCAAAGTGACATTCTATAAAAAGTGTAAAAACTTGGAGGAAAATTGGCATGTGTTCTGTTACCATGTGGAATCTTTTTTTCAAATACCCCCAGCTAACCCTTTTTTAAATAAAGGAATTGTTTAGCTTTCTGAAGTTTTTTTATGTGGTTTATCTAGGCTGATCTATGCCTTTAAAACTTTTTAAAGTATGGCTGTCTCTGGGAACAGAAAAACAACTCCAGTATGTGGCCTTTGTGGTGAACCATGTATCTGCAGAGTATATATTTTTAAAATTCAGCTTGTTAACCAACTTGGAACATTGCAGAGGTGATATAGTATGAGGGATCGTTGCAATAATGTTCTAGGATTTGCTTTGGCTGAAAAAGCCTACAATTTATCGCAACACATTTGGTTGATATACTGAATAATCTGATTAAGCCATGAACTGTAAACATGAAAACCATGGTGTGAAACAGGTTTCACTCTGAGTGGTTCCTTGTTCTCTGGGTGTGTGCCGTGCAGAAGAGTCACACTTTATTGATTAGAGTTAAGAAAGCCCCAGGGTGCTCTTTTGTGGGCTTTATATGTGACTTAGTTTTACTCACTTTATTAAATTAGGTGATTTACCATATGCAGCAACATAATGCTTTTGCTGGTGCAATGCAACAGATAGCTCCTGGTTCAGTGGGATATTAGTTGAATCAAGTACTTACGTCTGTTTTGTTAAAGGGCATTGAAATATATTGGAAAGCAGAGCCAAGATGAAATTCCACCTTTACCCAGAAAACCCGAATTTGATGTTTTGTCTGACTTCTGTTTTTCCACACATGCTTTTTTTAAGCTCTGTGCTGTAGAGAATCCCATCCAAATCTTGGCAGCTGTGCAGTGAGTCTCGTCTTTTGTGCTGTTTTGAATCATCCTCTTGTTTTTGTCCAGTTGCATTTCCAAGTCTGTATTTTGGCTGCCACTTTTGCCCTTTCTTTTGTTTCATAAGTTAACATTTCTGGTCTCCATCCCTTACATCTCTATGTTGGAGGTGGTTTGAGCATGATGGTTTTCATGACTGCATTTTAAGAAGGCCATTGATTTAACACTTGAATTTGATTCTTGTGTTCTGCTAAAATTAGGAGAATACAATTATTTTGCTAGGAGTACTGGTTAGTCTCCTACCTTAAGGATTACATTAAAGCACCAATGACTCAACGTGGTCCTTTGAGTATTTTTGCAACTGTTTTATACAAACTCTGGAAAGAAAGGGCAAGTATATATTTTTAAGTGTTGGAAATCACAGAAAATATTAACAATTACAATGGTTAAACTAGGTTTAATAATATTAAAAAAATAAACCAGCATAAAAAAGTAAATGTTGCTGAATGTGTTTCTCAGTCAAAATAACTTGTGTAAAAATATACTTGTTTGTGGCTATTGGACAGTCAAACATCCTGAGTATTTTAAACCCCAGACTATAAGTTTAGGGCAGTTACTTTGCAAGTTAGGTTACTATAGGCCCAAAATGAGCAATCATTGAATTTGTTGCTTCAGTGGCAATTTCAAAAAGTCCCCCATGACTGGTGGTCCCTCAAGGGATCTCTCTCACTATGCTCTGGGTAGACCCAAGCCGATTTTCATTAAATTTGACATATTGCAACTTCAGTAGTAAATCAGGGGGGTTTTCCAACCTTGACAGCAATTCTTAGGAAATGTGTGAATGTGCAGGTAGTGTAAGAAATCCTAGTGATTATGTTCAAAGAGGTGATCAGTAAAAAAAAAAAATCTCATGGTTTTGTTGAAAGCCACTAAATCACTTTAATATTATAGTACTTAGTAATACAATTTAACTTGCAGTGGTATGGATACTTTTTGAAACATGGGACTTTTTTAGTTTCGGGGGGTTTATATTGTTATAATATATCTTTTGTTATATTGGGGGGGTTCAGGCTTTATTTGACAGTGTTGAATCAAGATGCCTCATCTTTTTTTTTTTTTACACTGATTCCTTTTTAAGATCTTGAGACTAATTATTCTTGAATGAATGGTTTTCTTCAAGAACTGGCTTAATAAATTCTGCTTGTCTGGCTTTAATACAAAGCTGTACATTTCCATGCACACAAAACATGACACGACCTATTCCTTTACTTGTTAATTACCGTAGCAGTAATTAACAGTAATGGTGTTGGTTACAATTACAATATTTGTGCACAGGAAGAATGAGACGGGGATATTTTCTGATTTAATCTATGGATTCAAATTGAGATTTACTGTATTACTGTATAACGGTCCAGATACTTGTTCATAAACTGGCGTTTTGCATCTTCATTGAATTGAGTCCTGTATGAATGCTTTAACCCTTAGCGAATCATTTACCTTCTATTTTTTTTTCACTTTAAATAGATCTGTTTTATATTCTAGATGTATTAATATTTTACAAATCGGAATATGCAGTGGTGTTAACTTGAAATAAAAAAAATAAATGTTATTGACTAATTATCTGACAGTGTCTTGCATGAAAAAGAAAGTGGAGAGCTGAATCCTTAGTTTGACTGCCTGCATGAGAAGATGTATGTTAGACAAACGTATTGAAAAGCTAAGTTACATTTTGATTGAAAATGATTGAAAATTCAGTTCTAGAAACATCCAGTTATTGTTCTAAGTAAGATGAAGCAAGTGGGTTTCACGTGTCATTAATGTGAATTGTGTTTTTGGTTCCTTTCAGTGCTGGGCCTAAAGGAGATAACATCTACGAATGGAGGTCGACAATCCTGGGTCCACCTGGCTCAGTCTACGAGGGAGGAGTATTTTTCCTAGATATCGCATTTACACCGGACTACCCTTTCAAACCTCCCAAGGTAAAAAATCTAGTTTTACAGACCTTGCGCAAATAACTTTGTGATGTGTTGCAGGGTATAACAAGGACTGTAAATGATTAGTTTTGATTCTGTAGTTAAAGTAATAAAGGTTACAAAGATTGCCAGTTGGGGAGTCAGTACCTAATTGTTTGAAGTAAATCCATCTGCATCAACATGGCTGGGTGTTTATTCCATGCTGCCAAAACACTGTGGTTTTTGCCAGAGTGGTATTCTAGTCACTTTTTTCGAGTCCTAAGTCCCGACAGCCAAGTCTCGGGTAAAAAAGATTTATAAGTCTTCGTCACGAGACAACTCTGGTTATTTGCAAATTTGAAATTCTGCATTTTTTTAAACAGTGCCCTTCATATCGCAGTATTCCAGCAACATTAATTAAAAACAAAATGGAAAAGCCGTGGAAGATGATGTGATTGGTAAAATTTAAAATTCTATGATTTGCCTGAAGTTCGAGCATTTCTAGTGTCACATGGTGGCAATTGTGTGGGTCTCGTAAAACTAGCAAAATAAGAAATATTTAATGAACTTCCACTAGAACATCTTAAAAAAAATAGAAGTAAATCATTAATACAAATGTTTAGTTTTTTCACAACATGAAATTCTGTTAGTTAACAGGAAAATAATTTAAGATCCTTTATCATCAGTACCTTGCCCAACAATAAGAGTGAGAGGAAGGTGTTATTGATTGTCCATCCCAGAAAATTCTACTTCTTGGAATTTAACCAGAAAAGTTGCACATAGACTGGGATTTATTGTCCAGAGGCCACTCATTTCAGTCAATCTCATT